GCCCCAGCTGTCCTGGAACTCACTATGTAGACCAGGCTGGCCTTGAACTCACAGAGATCCTCCTGCCTCTGCTTTCTGAATGCTGGGATTAAAGGCATGTGCCACCATGCCCGGCCTTAAGAACACTTCTGGTCCCAAGCATTTCCATTTAACTCATTCTCTTCTGAATCTCAGAATTCTTCTCCTAGTAATGTTGTGCACATGTCTATGGGCTGACTCTCATTCTGCTTATATGATTCAAGTTGTTTCACCTAACCTGTGACGAGCCATCTGCTCTGGGGTCTTGAACTTGTGCCAATGTGTCCTTTCAAACACCCAACTAGAGCTTCCCTGCCTCTTAGCAGCATTAAATTACTGCTTAGCAGATAAGTTATCAACATTTTGCAAATGTTGATTCATTTCTCTATTTCTTTTCCTTCCCACCTTTAAGGCAGGTTTAACAACTTACTTCCATCCTGGAATAAACTTGAAGAAAATACATTATGATAGCATCAAACTTTATGAGAAGCTGGAAGAAGAAACTGGACAGGTAAATGCATTTAATTTGAAACTGTGAGGTCAGTCGCTAGGAAACAGAACGCTTGGTGTGGCAGAGAAACAAAGAGGTTAAGGTAAGAATCTCCAGGGTTTACTTGAACATCAATTTAATTTTTTGAGGCATATTATCCATATCACCAAGTAGTCTTGATTTTTTAATGAGAACATAATAAGAAGAGGCTTTCCACACTATCTTTAGTCAATTACTGCATCTAGAAACTCAAAAAAATTCGGAGCCTTTCAGCAGTTGGATTGCTAAAGATCTGACAACAGTGTGTGCCAGACTGTCGCGTGGCTCTGGAAAGCACTGCACTAAGAGCCCCTCACTTTTATTTTTATCCCTTTTTATGTTGAGTTGCGCTCTCAAAATAAGATGGCAGCCGAAAAATTTCCCTGGGCTAAGATCAAAGGCTAATATTTTCTTGCTCTTCTTCTTGTTGAAGACCCCCCAGGTGCTCACGGTCTTCGGGATCAAGGCCTCAGCCTAGTCTGAGGAGGGGGACCTTCATCAGCTGACCCCCCCACCTGTCTTTCCAACATTTTCTCTTTCCATTCTTCCCTTTGCTCATGTGCTTTAGTTGTTCCCAGTGGTTTCCACTCTGAAATGTTCTGGGTGCTCTCAAAGCTCTGTAAATTTGTGTTATATTTCTGTGTTATGTTTTGTCCCTTCCTGCTGCTTTCCCTGTCTGAAACACCTTCTCTCCAACCCTTCCCAGATGGCCAACCCACCTCTTGTACATTTTTGTACATGTTCTAATACACATCTTCCCGTAGTCATTACTGCTTTATGATTTGGTCTTTGCTGCAGATTGTGAGCTACTTGAGGACCACAAGTGCCTTTTTTTTTTCTGTGAAGCTGGGCCTCACAGAGGCTTGAAAAATGGGAGAACTTCAAGAAAGTTAAATGAATGCTTCACTTAAAATTCATCTCACCATAGCAACACTTTGATTTGCCATAATCCATCCTTAAATCCTTTGGCTCTCTCTTTTTCATATAATGCTCCTCCAGTCTGTGCAGGAACACTCATCCTATGGAACTGTGATGATGCCCTTAGCTGTCCTGCCTTTTCTTGTGGCTAGACAGCTCCATCTAGTCAGGGGTTTCGCCTCTGTTGTTTACTTGAGTCTGAGGCTTAGGAGAGTACCTGGCGCACAGGGGCTCTGAGCAAAGAGTTGCTGAATGAGTATCTTTTCATACAATGCAAATATTTTGTGTAATTATCTTTTTCTCTGCACAGTAAATTTCTCTTTTATGCACTTGCTTTTTCATTATGCTGGAGAACTGTGCTTGAATGCCCAAGAATAATTTATGTATGTGCTTTACTGTCACAGGTGGTGGGATTCCATCAGCCAGGTAGCATCAGACTTGCTACAACTCCTGTAAGGGTAGATGAATTTAAATATCAAATGACACGGACCAACTGGCATGCAACAGAACAGTATATTATTGAACCTGAAAAAATCCAAGAGATATTTCCTTTACTCAACATGAATAAGGTAATTTATCTGAAGGCATTTTTACTTCTTGTTGTCTTGAATTAAAATTAGCCAGGAAAGGTGTTTTAATAAGTTAATTACAAATACCAACACTGTGCACACATTTTCAATGGCAAAATTAAATGACTGATGCTGGACTGTGGGTAAATCACAAGGTGGGTTGTTATTCAATGAAATATGAAAAGGCAATGAAAACACTTTTGGTTTCCTACCTCTGACAGCTAAGGAAACATTTTCAACACCTTTCTGTGGATGTATCTCTCCAATGGAGGGGTTTTTATATATTAACCTTCTGTTTGAGAACTTCAAAGAGAATGATGGCCTGCTGTTATGATTCTAACAAGACAGTTATTAAAATTTTTTAAGTCAGGAATTTCTATGCCGTATTTTCCCATAAATATCACCCAGCTCACAGCTGCACTTCCCTGATGGATTCTGTGCCAGGCATGGATCTGGATAAACACTGCATTTTCTTAAGAGCATCCATTTGACTGGGAGGATAGGTTGTTTTCTTCCTCCCCCCCCACCCACTGGGTGATCATCTCTTTCACATAATGACATCAGTGCTTACTATAATATGTATTTATGCAGTAGGGAACATGCTAAGTCCTTTGTATGCATAATTTCATTTAATCTTCCTAGTAATATTATAAAGATAGATGTTCTTACTAACCATAAAACAGAAGCATAAGCAGTTTACACGGTGGGACAGGTTTGTAAGATGAGAACCCAGGTCCTCTGACCCCATTGCCTTGTGTATCCAAGGAAGCAGATAGCTTTGTTTCCTTGCTAGTGACTACAGCAGAGTTCCTGTCCGAGTGTCACGCTCAGAGTGTAGTCCCAGTGCTGTGAGTGCTGAGGTGCTGTGCTCTTCTGAGTCTTCACAGCCCATGGCTACTCCTTGCCTGGGGTTTTATGCGATAGCACACTGCCCTGTCTGTGTTGGAATTCTGCCTCCGCTCCTAGTAAGCCTGTGCTTATATCTCTCCAAGTCAGTCCTGGAATACTTTGCTGGAAGTTCTCATCATCACAGATTTTCACAAAGGTGTTAGGCAATGGACCAGGGCATGATGCCAAATCAAACAGACTTGAAATCACTACAAGGACATAGCCATTACAAAACACCAGCATGACATTTGCAAGTCTGAAGAAATGTGAATTCCATTTAAAACCAAAAGTCTCTTTCACCAATTCCATAGTGAGTACAAGGACTGAATTTGTAGTTTAAAAAAACTCTCACGAAGAGAAGCCCGGGCGGGCCCAGATTGTATATCTGGTAAATTTGAACAGACACTTGAAGAATTAATACTAATCCTTCACAAAGTCTTCTAAAAATAGAATCAAATATTTCTCAATGCAATCTATAAAACTAGTATTGCCCTAATACAATAACCAGACAAAGACATCAGAAGAAAAGACAGACAGTTGTCTTTTATGAATAGAGTTGCAAAAGTCCTTACCAATATACTAGTAAACTGAAATCAATATACTAAGAGGATTCTACAATATGGGCAAATGGAATGTATCCCAGGAACACAACACTGGTTTAAAATCTAAATGTCAATCAAGTGTAATAACATCAGATTAATGAAAAACAAAAATCATACAATGATTTAAATAGATATGGAAAAAAATGGACAGTTCTCCCTGTTCATACTTGGTGAATTCATTTTTTAAGTTAATAAATTCATTTTTATTTTTATGTGTATGAGTGTTTTGCCTGAATGTATGTATGTGTAGCTGTATGTGTTGTGCAGTGACATGGAGGCCAGAAGAGGGTGTCAGATCCTCTGGAACTGGAGGTCTTACCACAGATGGTTATGAGCCATAATTTGGATACTGGGAACCAAGGTCAGGTCCTCTACAAGAGCAGCCTGTGCCCTTAACCACCGAGCCAGCTCTCCAGTCCTTTGATAGTAACCTCGTCAGAGAGATGAGATCTAGTTATTATATTTGACTGTACTGGCTCTGTCAACATTTCAACTTGGTTCATTCTTTTTGTTTTTTGCTCCCCCGACCCTCTGCCTCTCATAATACCTAAGCTGAAGCCTAACATAAGATTAGTGTGTAAAAACTTGCTACCGAATTGTGAATAAAGTATAAATTTTCGTGGCACCATACGTATATGTGTGTATGTGTGCATATATATACATATATATGGGGAGATTGAACCAGGGCCTTGCACATGATAGGCAACCACTCTACCACTGAGTTACAGTCCCAGTCAAATTTTAATTTTTTATTTTGAGACAGGGTTTCACTAAGCTGCTCAGCTTGGCCTTGAATTTACTCTGTACTCCAGACAGGTCCTTGAACTTGGACTCTTCCTGCCTCAGCCTCCCTAGTAGCTGGGATTATACGCCTGTACCTCTAGACTCAGTTGACATCAGATATATATTAATATGTAAATTCACCAATAGTATCAACAAATATTCATTACAACCGATATGTCAGCTAGGATTAGATTGGCTTTAAACATCAGAAACCAAAATAATCTTGCTTAAGTAAGTTTATTTCTCTTTCATTTAAGCAGTCTGTCGCTTGAATGGTCACAAAGTCATGAAGACTGCAGGGATCTAGTCCCTTCCAGATCATTGCTTTGTTGTTCCTGGAATGTGACTCTTGTGTTAGTATTCCAGTGGTAGCTAGAGCTCAGCCATCATGTCTGAATTCCAGACAGCAGGATGGAGAAACAGATGAAGATGGGCATCTGCGAGCTGTCTTTTTACAGTATCTCATGGGAACTGCCATATAACCCTTACCTTGCATTTCCATTGACTAGAACTTAGGAACTCTAGCTACTGTTTGGAACTAACAGCTGCCAGAAAGGTTGGGAACTGTACTTTGTTCCATATGTGGCCGGTGTCCAAGTGTTGGAGGTAATTGCAAGGCTTTATCAAATGACCTGTGTACTTAACACTCAGTGTGACTCCTGCCTAAGTCTGAGTAGGACTTAGGATGAAGACATGTGGACTGATCAACTGGATGTCAAGATGCACTTTTCCCCCATGCTGATGATGCAGAGCCTTGTGCATGCTAGGCAAGCATTCCACCACTTAGCTATGTACACCTCCAGTCTTCAGTGAACCATCCTTCCATGCCCCACTCCCTGTAGCCCTAGCTGGCCTGGATCTCACTCTGTAGACCAAGCTAGCTTTGATCTCACAGAGATCCTCTTGCTTCTGCCTCCTGAGTGCTGGGATTAAAGGTATACATCATTGCTCCAGGCCTTGATGAACTTTTAAGGTCTAGTTTTATTAATCATTAGTTGGCAGGATATATTTGCAAGTAGTAATGCATTTGTTCGAATATTGACTCCTTTATGGCTGGTTTAGATTTTAGCTGGACTTTATAATCCGGGAGATGGTCACATAGATCCTTATTCTCTAACAATGGCCCTGGCGGCTGGAGCTAGGAAATATGGGGCCCTTCTAAAGCATCCTGCACCAGTGACATCATTGAAGCCCAGGGCAGATGGAACATGGGATGTGGAGACTCCACTGGGATCTGTGACAGCAAATAGAATTGTGAATGCTGCAGGTAAGCACTGGGCCAATTTTTATAAATTTATTTGTTTATTTTTTCTTTTTTGAGACAGGGTCTCACTATATAGCTCCAGCTGGCTTGGAACTCACTATGTAGACCATTCCAGGCTAGCCTTGAACTCACAGAGATCCACCTTCCTCTCCTCCTGAGTGCTGGGATTAAAGGCATGCACCATCATACCCAGCTCTTTTGAAAAGAATTTTTAAAGTTGCAAACAAATAATACATGTAGCTATAATGTAATGTGTGCTGTGATATTGATATGATGTGATACTCGATTTTTTTTTTGGTTTCTAAGCCACAGCTTTGCCCTTGGTGTGTGGTTTATCATCCCTCTGTCCTCAATGACCCGTTTCCTCTAGTCTCCATTCTTATGTCTTCCAGATGATGTTTTTCAACTAAGGCTTCTTTCTCCTTTCTGTGTTCCCTGGTTAGGCTAATGACCAAATTCTAGGGACTGGGCTGTAACTCCATTGGTAGCGTGCTCACTTAGCATGTACGGAAGCTCCAGGCATGTAGGAGGTGGAGGTGGTAGGGACAAAAATTCAAGATCATCCTTTGCTACAGAAGCCAGCCTGGGATACTCGAGACCATCTTAAAACAAACAAAACTAAATCCCATTCTTTCAATTTCTTACCAAGTTTGTTCTTAATTTTCTTTTTAAGGCAGATTTGATAATTTCTCTCTCTGATTGCTTTTGACTCCAAAGACTTTTAAGCCCTTTCCTTTCAGAACCTTATTAAACACATCTCACAGTCTCGTCTTTAAGCTGCTCCATTACAGTTTATAGAGTGGTGAAGCCGAGAGGGACATTTTGGATAATCTATCTACCTACTCATTTTCCATTTCTGGGGCAAGGTGCAATAGAGTCATGAGCCTTGGCTAAGCCACACTGGTAGTTCTGTCAGAGCTGGGACAGGTACCTGGTCTTTAGGTTCCTGAGCCAAGGTATTTTCAAACAGGTTGGTTGCATGTAAAGTTATTTTCAGCTCCCATACATGCAAAAATGAGGTTCTAAGGAGAAGGGTTGTACAGCTTAAACTGGACTTGTAATTTATATTTCCCTATCGTTAATGGTGACTCATTTAACTCTGAAATATGCACAAGGCCATAGCTGATTTTCCTTGAGCTGTTGTTTAAATTATCAAATGAAAATAATCTTTATTAGTTATAAGAGCAAATGATGTCCCACAAAGACATATCGGAAGCATGTACTTCTCTAATTATTTTCTCTGAATCATAACTTCTAATTGATGTTATTTTAAAACAAAAGAAAAATTTAAACTTTTTGTTTTCATTTTTTTGAGACAGGGTCTCCCTGTAGTTCCAGGTGGCCTGGAACTCACTGTGTAGACCAGGTTGGCCCCTGGGGGGGTCAGAGCATAACTTTCAGCAATCGTTTCTCTTCTTCCATCATGTGAGTCCTAGGGAACAAACTCAGGTTGTTGGGCTTGGGGGTTAGCACCTTTACTAGCTGAGCCAACTCGCCAGCCCCTTTAAAACAAAATTTTAGTGAACCTAGAAAAAGGCATGTCTTCAATATTTAAGAGTCTACATTGGTATTTCTAACTCTTTTGAATCTATGCCTCCCGTTTGAAAAGCATAAAAATCTCCTTCTTTTAAAAGGTACTTTGAAATTTAAAATAATATAAAACTTTCCTAAAAAATAAAAGCAATGGAATAAAATTTGTCATACTTGAACTCCACTTTCCCTTGAATCCATCTGATATTCCTCTCTCTTACCATCCTTGGTAACCTCAAGTCTAAATTCTGTTAGAGATCTGACTTAGGAATCATTCATATTTTCCCCCAAATAATAAGGATTCTTTATAAGTCTGTAACCTTTCTATGGTCTCATGAATTCACTTCTAAAAACATTTGACTACTTTCACATTGATGGCAATACTCAACAAACATATGAGACCTCCAGTTCCTGTGGCAGACATTGCTAATTGATGCCTGCACTTTTTTTTTTTTTTTTTTTGGTGGGCTTGCACAAAGGCACACTGTGTTGTTTTTCAACATGGTGTTTCAAGAATTCATGCAATCTAATGATATTTTGAGAAACAACCCATAAGATCTTAATTTAACAGATTTACCCATTGTTTTTCTAAAATGAATAAACATTTGCATAATAAGTTACCATTGCAATAATTTCTTTTCTAAACCACATACCGTGAAGTCTAAGATATCTCTGAAGAAGATAGGAGCTCTAAAGAGATCTGATCAAAGGGGCTGGACAGATGGCTCAGCAGTTAAGAACACTGGCTGTTCTTGCAGAAGATCCGGGTTTGAATCCCAGCACTCACTTGGGCAGCTAACAACTGTCCATAACTCCAGTTCCAGGGGACCTGGCAAGCCTCTTCTGTCCTCTGTGGACATTGCACAACATGGGTGCAGTTACTTACCTACATGCAGGCAATACATGCATACACATAAAATAAAAAGAAATTTAAAAAAAGAGAGAGCTGACCAAACCCCAAGAACTGGTCACCAGATGGAGTTGTCTATGCAGCTGTGAAATCCCAGTGTGATGGGGTTGGGAGAGCTGGGGCAGGTTGCTTTTGAGAATGGCTGTCTCTTGTCGCTGATGCAAACAGATTCTGGGGATCTAGTTTTAATTATGTTGACATTGTGGCCCTGTGTGGAGTGACTATGCTTCCCTTCATGCTTTGCTCATAGCTGCCCAGCCACCTCCACTCTTTCCACGGTACTCCAGGTCGTTCCTTTCAGAGAGCTGTTTGAGCTATCCTGGGTCAATTCTCAATTCTTTATCTCATTCATGTCAAATCTTCACCCTATAATCTTTCCCTTCATTTTTCTCCTCCTCCTCTTCTCTTTCACTGGGCAGAAGTCACCGGAGAAAATCTAACTGAGTACATATTAGTAGCCCATAGGATACCTGGAGGAGTGTGTGATCTATAAGCATGTTTTTAAAAGAAAATTTTCTAAAGGATAGAAGCTCTCTGTAAAGTAAGGCTTAGTTGGGGCAGAGGTCTGGACATGCCCCCTTTGTAGAATTGAAGTTGTTTTAATTAAGACGAGTTTTCTGAATAAAAGCAAGTATCGCGTTAATGATTTCAGAATGTGGCATCTGGAATATTTCCCAGAGTTACTCAGTGAGACCATGGTGTCTCACACATTCAAGCAAAGTCCTCAGGCCAGCTCTGGAATCTAATTAAAGAAACCAGGACATAGACTTGGAAATGTAATCAAACTGTGAAAGATGCAAAGGCTGCCGAATCTTTGGGATGCCCATAAAAGGGAAAGTGTGAGCAGAGATGTGTGTGTTTGCTGCTGTGTTTCCAGCTTTGTTCAGGGCAGTGGGGAGACTCTAGCCAGAGACATAGGCCTTGCCAAGCCTGTGCCTGGGGCACGTAACTAATCTATGAAATGGGGATAATAATGGCCATGTCAAAAGTTATTGTGGGCAGTAAAGAGTTAATAATGTAAAGCATCCAGAACAGGGTGTCATGTAGAAAACACTATCAAGTTTAGGTATAATGATAATAATTATGATTATTATAATTATTTTCTTGAGAGTTTATGCCCTTCTCTGGAAGACCCTAGCATCACGTTGTTATAACTCCTTGGTGCTAACCTTAAGGTGACTCCTTTCTTTGTCCAAAACCATCTAGTAGACATTTGCTAGAAAAATGGCTTCCTAAGGAACTTGGCTATCAAGTCAGGGTTTCTCAGAATCACCTTGGGGAGTTTCTCAGACTTCAGAAAGATTTTAATTTAGGTGATCTAGTGGGGACTTTGAAGCTCTATTTATTTTATTTTATTTTTCATATGTTTTATTTTGCAGTGTTGAGAATTGAGCCTAGGGCCGTGCACAGGCTAGGTCAGTGTTCTAGCACTGGATCATATCCCTAGCCTGGCTGTATTTTAATCTGTATTGTCTATACCAGATGATTTTTAAAACTTTTTTTTGTGGGTGGAGGTGTTGAGAATTGAACCCAGGGCCTCATCATGCTAGGTAAGCGCTGTACCACTGAGCTACATTCTCAGCCCTTTTTTCATTTATTTGATTTTACCTTGAGATAGGGTCTTGCTGATTACCCAGACTGACTTCAAACTGTACGTAGTGCAAGCTGGTCTCAAATTTGAGCTCTTTCTGCCTCTACCTCTTGAATAACTGGGGTGGCAGAGGTGGACCACCATGCCACCATCCTAAAACATCTCCTGAGAAGCACTGCTAGTCACGCATTCCAACAGGAAAATATGTTAATCATATTTCCTCCAGCCTCCCCTCTCCCTCCCGCTCTGTCTCCTCCTCTCCCTGCCCTTTTCTTTCCCTTCTCTCTTCCCTCCTTTCCGTTTCTTTATTTTGTGTGACCCTATTCATGAACAAGCAGAGCTGAGGATGTTTTTGATGCTTCCAACATCTTAGCGTGCAACAATCTAACTTTCTTCTAGTACCCAGAGCTTTTGAAATGAGTTTCATTCTACCCTCATTGATCCCTTTCTTGGGCACAGGGACATCACAGCACAGCACAGGGACTCAGCACAGCACAGGCACACAGGACAGGGACACAACACACCACAGGGCAAGTGCTACTTACTGTGAGGTGAAGCTTTCCTCTTCATGGTAAAGAAGGTGCCTTGTTCTCATTTCCAATTGACTCATTAAACCCAAGAGAACTTCATAAATGTTACTTATAAATTTTCCCATATGGAAAATCAGAAATGTGATTGGATGATGCTAACATTGGAGCCCAGTGTTCATACTGAAAGAATTGCTTCATTTTTTCTGTTACACTGTATCAAAGGATGAGGACTTCATTGTCACTATGGAAGTCATCTTGTAGAAAACCTGGTCATGAACCAACCTCCTCCCTTCATTTTAACCTCATTTCTATTCATCACTATAATTGTATTTTATTATCTTATTGGTGGTTCTCAGAGTTGAAGCTGGGGCCTCATGTGTGCTAGGCAGATGCTCTACCACTAAGCTCTATTCCTAGCCTTGAAGTCTTTTAAATGAAGGCCATTTCCAATGGCCATTTTTATTGGTACTTTGTTGCTTTGCAGGTGATGATGGCCAACTTTTTAGAATAATTTTTTCTGTGCTTGACTCTCTTTTTTGAACTCAGTGGGTGAAAGTTCTAGCAGGAGTTGAAGTATAATCTTGGCCAGATTCAGACTAATTTGATAAACATAGAAAAGGAGCCTGTCTCGGATACCAACACCAAAGGGTAAACAGTGTAGAGCTTGCTGTGGGGTTTGAAGTAACATGGTTATATGGGATACAAACATACATTTATACTTTATTTTAATGATGAAGTGTATTAATAAGCAAGCAGCTGGACTCAGAAATTCATAATTATGTTTGAATAGGACAGAATTTGTTTTCTTCAATTTGTGTTTTTAATTGAAACGAGTAGATTGAGGATACTGCAGTAGTTTGAATTGCTCGGCTAATTATTTTGACTTGATATTTTAAAACTGCTCTAGTATATATAGCTACAAAGTATAGCTTTACTGTATTTTCTACAAAGCGAGCCCTAACATTGATAATTCATACTGTCCTACAAGCAACAATAAATCAAGTCTAAATTATTAAAGACCGGCAAATAGCTCCAATTCCCACAGGTCAAATTTTAGGTTTAAACATGGGCAGCCAGTTCTGGAGTTATTATACAAACATGACTTGGCCGTTAGGCCCAAACAAAACAATGGAACACATAGGTAATGCTTGCTTAAATGGAAACAAACTTTGGCTCGTCAAGGAACCTAATTTGGGTTTCCAGACTGACTCATAAATGATTCTGTATCTAGCCTTGAACTTTATAATGATGCAGAGCTCAGAACTCCTTATTAGATTTTTTTTTTTTTTTTTTTTTTTTTTTTTTTTTTTTTTTTTTTTTGAGACGGGGTCTCCCTGTTGTCCCAGCTGACCTGGATCTTGATATGTAAATCAGGCTGGCCTGGATCTTATAGAGATCCACCTGCCTCTGCCTACCAAGTTCTGGAATTAAAGGCATGTGCCACCATGCCTGTAAATTTTTTTAAAAAAGCAAAACCAGAAACGGCTAAAAAATTATAGAGTACAACTAATAAAACTAGAACTTCAACAGGATTCTCTAATTCTCTGAATACATCACTCAAAACTTTATGTTACAATTCAGATGACAAAACACCCTCCCCACAAATAATCCATCAGTGGGTCAAGCAACACTGTACCCTTGTCAAAAAAAAATTACGTTTATCATTTTAGAAGCTAAAATACCTTTTTTTACTGATAGAGGTGTCTTGGATGCTTAAAATAAACTCTTTCTATGGGAAAGAGTAGCTCATACTTGTAATTCTGCACTGGGGAGATGGAGAGTGGAGGATCAGGAGTTCAAAGCCAGTCTGAGCTACACAGAATGTTCAAGGCCAGCTTTGGCTACATGTAACTCTATCTCAAAAAGCAAAGAAACACCTGCACACACACACACACACACACACACACACACACACACACACACACACGCATTTACAATGTATATTTGGTAAAGTCTTGCTGCAGCAAGGAGAGTGGCAAGATCTGATGATCATAGACTCCTGGGTCCTTCAGCCTCCCAGTAAACAGGTCTAACCTTGGGAAATAACATGAAGGGAGAAGCATCTCCTGAGGAACTGATGTGCCCAGTCTCCCCTTTCTGGGTTTCCCCTTTTCTGCAGTACTGGTTGGTGATGTACCCAGGGCCTCACACATGCTGGACAAGTCTCTCCACTGGGCTCCCCTATCAGTTCCTCCTGGTTTTTGACTCAAGTGCTTTTGTGCTCTTTGTAAGACAGGGCCTTACAGATTCATTCAAACTAAATTTTAAACTAACAGATAAAACTTATGTGTTATCTCTTCCAAAATATTTATACTCTCAGATTTTGAGGTAATGCAATAATTCTGAATCTGTGAAATTTTAGGCATCAACAATTTGGAGAGAACAGGGTTTGGAGGATATGGGAACTGATTTGCAGGGCTGTATTATGTACGTTATCCTATTTTTAAACATATTTTAATCATTTATTTTTATTATTTTATGTGTATGAGTGTTTTTCCTGCATGTGTGTAAGAGAACCACATGCATGGAATGCCCACAAAGGCCAGAAAAGGCTGTCATTGGAACTGGAGTTATGGACATTTGTTAGCTGCCTTGTGGGTGCTGGGACTCGAACCCTAGTCCTCTAAGAACAGCCAGTGCTCTTAACTGCTTAGCTATCTCTCCAACCCTGTTCCTCTATATTATGCTGATCACATCAACGCAATAGCTTCTCCTCTGCCTGACCACCTTTGTCTACAAGTCGGATGAGCTTTGTCATCACCTTTCTTATAAGTACTTGTATTTTGTATGTATTTGGGTTGCTTATATTTTCTTTCAAGTAAATTTTTTTTTCTGCCCATCGTTGCTCATAGATAAAATGCATTTTCATGAAAGGAGCTCCTTTGGTTTGCAGATATATCAAAACTCTGGACTGTGCAAACTATTGCCTTGTTTTATCACCCATTCAATCTTGCAATGTTAAAATATTTAAGAGGGTAAGGATGTGATTCAGTGGTGGAGCCCTCGCTTAGCAAGAATGTGCAAGGCCTTAGGTTTTGTTGTTGTTGTTGTTTTGGAGACAGGATCTCCCTGTAGCCCCAGCTGGCTTGGAGCTTACTAGGTAGACCAAGCTGGCCTTGAACTCACAGAGATCCACCTGCCTCTGCCTCCCAAGTGCTGGGACTAATGGTGTGCAAGGCCTTAGATTTGATCCCCAGCACTGGAAACAAGCAGACAAGCAAAGGTTGCCATAACATTCTTTAGCCTTATGAGCACTCAAGCCTTCTAGATGTTTCCTAATAAAAACTGCCATATCAATGTCATAGGTTGCTTATACATGTGGTGACATTTTAAAATGATTTTTTTTGTCTTTACTTAAGGATTTTGGGCCCGTGAAGTAGGGAAAATGATTGGACTAGAACATCCACTCATCCCTGTTCAACATCAATATGTCGTTACCTCAACTATCCCAGAAGTGAAGGCTTTGAAACGGGAACTCCCTGTACTCCGTGACCTGGAAGGATCTTATTACCTCCGACAGGAAAGGGATGGACTTTTGTTTGGCCCGTATGAAAGTCAGAAGAAGATGAAAGTTCAAGACTCCTGGGTTGCTCATGGAGTCCCTCCAGGTGGGTTCAGTATGCAGGTCAGGCAAGACTCAACCTCTCGCTGGCCGGGGGCCATAGAACAAGAAGTTAGCTTACTACTGCAGCTTTGGGTGCCTGGGGCTACGCAGGGCAGGAGCTGGAAGGGACTCTGCTCTCATACCCTTTTGGAAAGTAATCAGGGCCTGAGGAAAGAGAAAAAAAGATGCAACTGGTGGTGTTGAAGCCAAAGTTGGTACTGAGGCTACTTGGGAAGGCGCCAGGGACATTTTCATTTGCCCATGCCAATCTTCAATCCTCCCCCTTTTCCTCGACCTGTTGCCTGCTTGATCTAGTTTCAAGATTTGAATACAGGTGCTATTGTGCTTTTGCTGGTTGGCTATGCTGCAAGAAGCCAGGACAGGTATCCACTCTACAAAGAATGAAGGTCCAGGATTCCCTAACAAAGCAGCACAAGCTGGAACTGCAGACAGAGGCCCCTCCAGGCCTCGGAGTGGGAAAGGCTCAGGGCTGTACACCACAGCAAGAGGGCCTGTGCTTTCTCTTTCTAGTTCTATGAAGGAGATGGGCCAGGGTTTGTTTTCTCTTAACTCCACGAAACATTTCCATGCAGCCAAATCAGCAACTGGGTTGTCTGTGCTGGCACCTCTAGTTTTAATCTTGTGTGCATGTGTGTTCATGTATGCAGGTACATATGTGTGTAGGCATATGTACATGTACATGTGGAGGCCAGAGGACAATGTGAGATACTGTTTCTCAGGCACTGACTCTCTCTCTCTCTCTCTCTCTCTCTCTCTCTCTCTCTCTCTCTATATATATATATATATGTAATATATATATATATATGGTTTGTTTTTTGTTTTTATTTTTGTTTTTGTTTTTCTGATAGAGTCTCTCACTGGTCTTGAACTCATCAAACAAGTAGGCTAGGCTGACTGTCCAGTGGAGCTCCATGGATCCACTTGTCTCTGCCTCCCCTGTCCTAAGAATACAGTCACACCCAGCTTTTTCTTTTTTTAACATGGGTTCTGGGATTGAATTCAGGTCCTTGTGCTTGGATTGCAAGTATTTTACTGTTGGAACCATCTTCTCAGCCCTCCAGTTTTAATCTGTAAAAGGAACTAACATATCCTTGGGGCACTGAAATATTTCAGAGAATATAAAGTAACAGGAAATTGTACTTTCTAGAATTGTTCTTTGATAAGCAGTCTGGGGCAGAGAATACATTCCGCCCTCCCATGTATCAGGGATTTCTGACTCATCTTGCCTCCTGCAGAGGCGAGGGCAGCAGCTGTAGAGCTTTGGTTTTGCTGAGTGGGTCCTGCGTATTTGGACCTGGGTGGAATTGCTCCTGACCTTCCAGTGATGACTGAGCTGCCAGGGGAGGCTGCTGGTAGGAGGGGACTCTCTCTCCACTCTGCCCATCCTGTGTGCTTTCCTCCAAATAAATGCTGAACAAATATTTAAATAATGCTAGCTGGAGGGAGAGCCAGATTTTGAGCAGTTCTTGGCATGGCTGTCCTTGTGTCCTAGAGCAACCCTGGTAGGTCATAAGCCCCCATGCCTTCACCATGACTTACAGTCCCCAGGTGAGGCTGTGAGAAGTTATGTGGATACTATGTGGAGGAATATCCTGAGTGGGCAGAGGCATTCTTTTGGAAGTTTTTCTGTAGCCTTGCTTTCAATCACAGTGATTTCTAGAACAAGAAGACAATTGTTATCTAAGAACCACCTTTCTGCACCTCAAGTCTGTGGGTACATGTACGAGCAAGCTGCAGGCCTCCTGCTGAAAGGAGAGCAAAGTCTTTCATCCTAGATCCTGAAACAGTGTCCTCTTTCCCCAGGTTCCTGGCATGACTGTAGACTCCATTTTATCCTCATCATTATGGTTAATTGAGGATAAAAATCCCTCCTGACAAACCAAGTAATTTTTTTTTAATGTGACTAGATTGTTCAAATTTCTATTCATTAGAAAGATGATTTTGTTTTGAGAAGAATAGCATCACTGTTCTCAGTCATGTAATAGGTACCCATATGTGGACAGTGAAAGTCAGGTTTAGACTTTAAAACATTTATTTTTTTACTTATTATTTTATGTGTATGTGTGTTTTACCTCATATATGTAAGTGCACCCATGATGCAATGCTGGTGGAGATAAGAAGAGGGTGTCTGATCTCCTGTAACTGGAATTACAGATGGTTGTTAGCTACCATGTGGGTGTTGGGAACCAAACTTTGATCCTCTGCCAAAGCAGCCAGTGTTCTTAATTGTTGAGCCATCTCTCTAGCCCCAGTAGACTTTTAAAGAAAAAGAAAGGCCTTCCTCACAGGTGCTTCAGAGACTGAAGGCACTGGGACTTGCCAGTGCGGCTGTGGCATTCTGACCTCCGTGGTCTATCTTTCCAGGCTTTGGAAAGGAACTCTTTGAGTCTGACCTGGACCGAATCATGGATCACCTAGAAGCTGCCATGGAAATGGTTCCCGTCTTGAAAAAGGCTGACATCATCAATATCGTCAATGGTCCCATCACCTATTCTCCTGACATTCTGCCCATGGTGGGGCCCCATCAAGGGGTCAGAAACTATTGGGTAGCTGTCGGCTTTGGGTGAGTGACACCACACGATTCAACTTTTATTGCAGAAGCACTTACTTTTAGTTAAATCTAGTCCCAAACAAGAGGAAAACATGGAAGAGGCTCAGAATAAAAACTCCAGTTTAAAAGCACTGATTATATAATGGTCTGATAACAGATACGTCTTAAAGATTAGCACATGGAAGGGCGATAATCTTCTGGAACTCTTCTCTGTTTCCTGCCATCTCCATCCTTCATGTCTGTTTTCATGCCATTACTTCTGATGGGTCAATTTGCCCCAATTGGACAAGAATATTTTCATAACAGAATATGACAAAGATAATTCAAAATATCAGGTGGTTAATATATCTGGTACATTTTTCACCATAATTCCTATTTGTGCAACATGATTTATTTCTCTGTAACTCTCTGGGTTGCTTCCTGTTTGTGATTTGAGGCCTCTCTGAGGTTTCATTTCTAATATTTATCCCATTAGTGTGCTGAATATTGACGTCAAACCCACTTTGCTATCATATCACAATTTCTAATATTAATTTTTTTTCTCTATTTTATTTGGCCATTGTTCAAATAATATTAATGATTTCCAGCTCTGTGCCAGGCCTCATGCTACATTGCCCAGACAAGTATAGATTGATGCCTTTTTATTCTCCTTCAGAACTAGCTCTATAACAATTAAGGTGCATTCATTTTTCTAAAATAGTGAAATTGGTGTCTTATGAGTACATTCAGCATTTTCTCTCTGTTGAGTTTCCTCCCACACTTCTTGGAGCTAAAGTACTGGCTGTTAAGATGTCTCTCTTACTTTGTACTTTGGAGATGACAGAGTTCTTGTGTTGTTTTTTTCTTTTTGGTGGGGGAGATCAAACCCAGGGCTGTGCTGGGATTCTTACATCTTAATGTCTATCCATGTGGCTCCTTTCCTTGGTTCTCTCCCCTCACGATGCCCAGCCCATTCAGTTCCTCAAAGCATCTCTTGACTTAACTATAGATAAACCCATATTGAAGAGCTTAGATAAGAATGGGTGGGTGGTTGAAGACTGTGATTCTGATATCACAACGCAATCATATTTGTGGTTTTAAAGCTCTTTCTTGGGGCTGGGGGTATAGCTTAGTTGGTAAAGTGCTTGCTTAGCATGCATGAAGCCCTGAGTTTGATTTCCTGTGTCATATAAACTGGGTGTAGTGGTATATTCTGGTAATCCTAGAAATAAGGGGTAAGACAGGAGGATCAAAATTCAAGGTCACCCTCAGATACATAATCAGTTTGAGGCCAGCCTGGTGTATATGAGACTCAAAAGCATCTTTTTGTAGAACTAGATGACAAACAGACTTTCCCTTCCAAGTGCCTCAAGGTTGCAGTACAGGGACCATGTTCCTATTTGCCTCCTCCCACAATCCCCACTGAGTGCTTCTTTGAATGCTTCTAACTTAAAGGTTCCTGTATAGAGCTAGTCACCTACGAGGGTGCCCAGTACCTTGAGTCAAGAAAAGGTGGAGGAGGTTATCTCTAACAGTTTCCTATCAGTCAGGATAATCACAGCTCAAGACACTGGGTGAGCACCAACCAAAACCACATCCACTTGTCCATTTCTCTCCCCCTTCCCACCTATCCTAAAGTGAGCATCTTTACTAGCTAGCAGTCATAGGCTATGTGTAGGTATGTTGTCTCTCACTAAACTGTAGAAATGGATGGGAGAGGTGACTCAGCAGTTAAGAGCATGTACTGCTCTTGTAGAGGACCCGAGTTCATTACCAGCACCCACATCGGACAGCTCACAACCCTCTGTATCTCCAGTTCTAGGGGATCCAACACCCTCTTTGGTCTCTGAGGGCACCTGCACTCACATGCACATACTCACAACAGATACACATATATACATAATTAAAAATAAAAGTGAATCTTAAGAAAACAATATATGTGTACTGATAATAAAGAAGCGATCATGAATTTGAGAGGGAGTTTGGGGGACACAAGAGACATTGGAGAAGAGGAGGAAGGGATGGAAATAATGTAAATACAGTATTCCTGAATTAAATTTACCAAAAATTAAAATAAATATTAAATATTTAAAAAATTAAATAAAAAACCTTAAAACTATAGAAATAAAGTAGGTATCAAGCCAAATATCTTTCATTTAGGTGCCTAAACATGCATTCATTTTAAGATTATATTTCTTGTGTGTTCTGAGTCACACAAACCACTCCAACCCTGAAGTCCTATAAGATATTTGGACATGTTCCAACATTTGAAAATACCATGTGTTTGTGATATGGTGCCAATTTTTGTATCTGAAAGATATGGCATAATCCATGCTGGTGGGATAGGGAAGTACCTCAGCAACTGGATCTTGCATGGAGAACCCCCTTTTGACCTGATAGAACTGGATCCTAATCGCTATGGCAAATGGACAACAACACAGTACACGGAGGCCAAAGCCAGAGAATCATACGGGTTCAACAACATTGGTAAAGTACTAATTTGCTGTTGTCTACAAAGACTTGCAGTATCTCTGACTTTAGGTACTACTTATTCTGTTCATTAGGGCGGGAGTAGTCAGGAGCTGTAAATAGCATTGTGCCTCTGAGACACATCAAGGAATCTATATGATTGTATATAGTTAATGTATCATTTGAATCACTGATTTAAAATTTTAAATGTATTTTTACTTTACCTTTTGATAACTTTGTTTTATATATATATATATATGCTTCTGGATTTTAAGTCCTGTATTTTCCATTTTTAAAATCCATTCGATGTATTTCATCATTTTGGTTATAAGCTATTTAGAGCACCTATTTTCCTTTTTCAGTTGGTTATCCTAAAGAAGAACGGTTTGCTGGGAGGCCAACCCAGAGAGTCAGTGGGCTTTATAAAATCCTGCAGTCTAAGTGTTCAATGGGGTTCCATGCAGGCTGGGAGCAGCCACACTGGTTCTACAAACCCGGCCAGGACACTCAGTACAAGTGAGTGGATGACAACCTGCCTATGATTCTGACCAAGGGATGCCACTGCAGGGGTAGAATGGATGGACATTGGGCATGGGTTCCTCTCCCATGTTGACTACACTGCATGCCAAGGAGCATCTCATCCACTGTCCACTCCTATATCAGTGGCCTGCTCAAGGTGGAAGCATTCCTTAGTCCAGCTCAGATGACACCACTCCATATCTAGGACCCATCTGCCTTGAGCATCCCATAGCCAGCCCTGGTAAATAGTTTTCTACTTGATGTCTACCAGAATCTCAGAGGAATCTGCTTCCTCCCCATCCAAATATTCACCTAACTATGATTGGCACCTGAAGGTTTGCCATGGCCTAAGGTGCCCAGCAGAATCTCCTGGCATATAAAAACAACATGGAAAGGACCCAAAGTTCTGGGCTCTCAGTCCATCATGAAACAGCTGAGATCCCCTGCTTTATAGTGCATGTACATGGAACTGTGCCAGTCATATACACAGTTAATAAATTGGGGGAAGATCATTGCTTAGCAATTTGGGTTAAGCTAAAACAGTAAGCATGTCGCCCAAACAGATCCCTGGATTCCTGTGAAGTGCTACATGTTATTGTTGGACTCTAGATTAAAGGTGATTATGCATCATTTTCTCATGAGAATTCATAGACCAAGGAAAAACAAACAGCAAATGTAGAAGCTAATTTATCTTTTTCATTGAGCTGTCATTTTGCTGTTTGAAACAGGTTTGGGAGCTGGGGAGATGGCTCGGGTGCTAAAATGCTTGCCATGCAAGCATGAGAATCAGCGTTCAGTCCCCAGCACCCATAAATAAAAGTCGGGCATTGTGGTACATGCGCGTAACCCCAGTGCCGAGGAGGTGAAGACAGGTAGATTCCTGGGATTTTCTGGCAATCCAGCCTAGTATGCTTGGCAAGCTTCAGGAGAGACCCTGTTTAAACAAACAAACCCCAAAACGAAAAACAAAACACAAAAAACAAGGTGGAAAGGTGATTTGTTCCTGGAATTTGACACCTAAGGTCATCCTCTGGCCTTCACATGCACCCACACATATGTGCAAGTGCATCCGCACTGATGAACACACACACACACAACAACAACAACAACAACAGGTTTTGACATCTATTTTCAATTTAGATCTCAGTGGTGTGAAACATGGAGGAGGGGCAGCTGAGAATGAGTGTGTTCCGCTCTGGAGGCAGCTGATCTACTATGTTTTGGGGCCAGATCTTGGCTTGGTTTTTCCTGAATGACTCAAATAAATTGTAGCTTTTCTACTTTGTGCTGTTTGGATATGGCTTAAGGTTTTTATTTTCAATTTTAATAGTTAAGCTACTGAAAAATTCAGCAAACTTACCATCACACTCCAAAGTTAAAAAATACCATGTTAGAAGTCCACTTGGTGAGGTAGGAAGGACCTTTAGACCTTTGTTCTAGACCCAACTCTCATTAGGTAACACAAAGGCCTCTGAAAAGTGAAGGTGGTGGGGATAGACCATTGCTACTTGCTACCTGGTCTGGTGTGGACACTACATGGAAACTTGCCTGGGAACCATGGTGCCCCATTCTGGGTACCAGAACCTGTATTTTAACAAGTGAGAGTGATTTATATTCATGTTAATACTTGAGAAGCACTGGACTAGACAGTTAAACACACACACACACACACACACACACACACACACACACACCCCATTCTGATTTAATGAGGCCCAACAAGTATTTAAAAAACTCCCCCAAATGAATCTAACATGCAACCAGGGTTCGAAAACCCTGGACCTGTTTTGATCCCTTCTAGGCTGCCCTTCAGACCAGAGAACCTACAAGTTCTGTGTTATTTTTCTAGTTAATTAACACTTCATTCATTATAAAATGGGTAGATGAGTAACTATGAAAGGTCAGATTCCAAAACATGTATATGATTTACAGAGCAAAATTTGAAGTTGCATCTTCTGCTGCCCCAGTAAGATGGATAAAGTTGATTAAAATATTCTATAATTTTTAGGCAATGGATGACAGTTGTTTTGTACCACTAAATATCGTGTTTCAGGCCAAGTTTTTGCCGCACAAACTGGTTTGAGCCGGTGGGTTCTGAGTACAAACAGGTTATGCAAAGAGTGGGTGTGATTGACCTATCACCATTTGGCAAGTTTAACATCAAAGGCCAAGACTCCATCAGATTGCTGGACCATCTCTTTGCAAATGTTATTCCCAAGGTAAATAAACAAGGTCCAGGATTCTGACCTATTCCTTTCAAAAACCTAAACCCAGCGTTCTTTTACCTCACGTAATTATATTGATGTGAACACTAGAACTCAGCTGACCAAGAATATGCAAGCTAATTTTCAAATTTAAATTTCTTTTGAGTAAATTATCATCTAGGGACCCAATGACTTTGCTTAATCATGCCAATGGGAACTTAAAATGGACTGCAATTAAATGAAGTGCATTTTTTAAAGTTTTTAATAATTATTATATTTATTTGTGTGTGTATATAAGAACATGCATACCATGGCACACATGTGGAGGTGAGAGACAACTTTCAGGAGTTTCTCTTCCACCATGTGGGATCCAGTGATCGAACTCAGGTCATCAGGCTTGGCAGCAAGCTCCCTTACCTGCTGAGCCATCTCCCCAGCCCTGAAGTGCAAATTTTATGACAAATAGTTTTATATGGTTTTTAAAATTGAAATCCTAAATATCTTTGGTTTGGTTCGTATCATTGATGTAAGTGGCAAGAGAAGGAAGCTTTTCATGGTCAAGACCCACATTTTTTTTACACGTGTTAAGATGTTTAATTCATCCTAAAATAATTGTAAATTCTTTTGTGTAGGTGGGTTTTACAAATATAAGCCACATGCTGACACCCAAAGGTCGAGTGTACGCTGAGCTGACTGTTTCTCACCAGTCTCCAGGGGAGTTTCTGCTGATCACTGGTTCTGGATCAGAACTTCATGATCTTAGGTAAATATACACGTAGCCAAATAATATTGTACATATGATACACTGAATCAACCTTACAAAGTTTTTCCTGAATCACTATGTTCTAGGTTTATTTCTGGTGCTGTGATAAAATGCCCTGACAAAAAGCAACTTAGGAAAGAAAGGGCTTGATTTCATTTTACAGCTGCAGGTTACAGTTCATGATAGCAGGGATGTCAAGGCAGGAACAGGAATGTGAAGCAGCTGTTCATATCATATCCACAGTCAAGAACAGAGAGAAATGTATGCTTGCTTGCTCGCTTGCTTGTGCTCAGCTCCATTTCTCTACTCTTACACAGTTTAGGACTCCCTGCTAGGGAATGATGTCATCCACTATGGGATGGCTCTTTCCACCTCAACTAACAATCCCCACAGACATGCATACAGGCCAACTCACCTCATTGAAACTCTCTTCTCAAGTGATTCCAGGTTGTGTAAAGTTGAAAAAGCTATCACACAGTACTTGAAGAACAACTTTAATTCTTTTAAAAAATATTTACTTTGTGTGTGTGTTTGTGTGTGTGTGTGTGTGTGTGTGTGTGTGTGTGTTCTAACATTGCTGTCAGTGGGCCTACATGCATGCAGGTGCCCATAGAAGCCAGAAGGCACTGGATCACTTAGAGCTGGAATAAGAGGTGGTGAGCTGCCTTATGTGGATGCTAAGACCAAACTCTGGTCTTCTGTAAGAGCAGCAAGCTCTCTTAATCCCTGAGCCATCTTTCTAGCTCCCAACTTTAATTCTTAAACCTCATCAATGTGAATAAAGCTAATTTATTTTTTATAGGATTATTTGAAGCAAAAGCCCCTGGGCCCCCTCCCTAAGGTTATCCATCCATTGAGTTTCTGATTCTAATATTAACTCTTGTTTATTAAACATCATTAATGTGCCAGAATCCCTTTTAGACATGACCTCAAATAATTCTTTTAAGATTTTGCAGGGGCTAAGAAGATGACTCTGGATGGAATGCTTGCTGCACAAGCATGAAGATCAGAGTTCAGATCCCCAGCACCCATATAAATGTCAGGAGGGCATAATGGCCTGCCTGTAATCCTAGCACTTAGGAGGCAGAGACAGGGGATCCCCAGAGCAAGCTTGCTAGCAAAATCAGATGAGTCAGTGAGCTTTGGGTTCAAGTGGGAGACCCTGTCTCAATATATATGGTGGGTGCAATTCAGGAAGACACTTGATGTCAACCTTTGACCTCTACATACATGTAGACACTCATGCATGTGCACCTGCACACACCTGTGTCCATACGTATACAAATCTGTGTATACATCCTGATGCATGTCACACATGCATACACATACAAAAATTGTTTTACAAAGTATATGTTATCATTTTCAGGTGAAGAACAGTTAAAGTCACCTGCTCAGGTCAGCACGTTCAATTATAGCACTGCATTTGGTTCACTTTCAGTCCACTGGCTCCCTTGGTTATCAATGCCTCTGTAATACTCTGTGCCCACTGGCTAACAGATGAATCATTGTCCGGTTGAATTGAGCCTTTGCCTGAATATTCAGTCTATAAAGTTTTCATCTTTAGTTTATAAAAACCACTTGAATTATTATTATTAAATCAAGATCTGACTCAGAGTCTCACCCAAGTTATAAAATGATGTGAATTTTATGGTTGGGTGCAAAGGGTCCTGGGTACCTTCTTCAGTAAGTAAACTTTTCCCAAATCCAGATGAACACTTTATGATAGAGTTGCAGCACTTCAAGGTCTGCTCAATAAATTGTGAACTGGCCTGAGAACTGCCTTCCAATGACTCATCAACCTTTAGAAACTGAAACTCGAGTTTTTCTTTTCCTTATGATTGTCAGAGCAATTATGTGTCTGGTGGCAGGCATATTATTAACAGTTAACAGCACAAGTGTGCATCCTGTGTACAGATATTGGAGCAAATTTTGGTTTAAATTAATTTATAAAGATGCAGCCATTAGTTTAAATGCAATAGAAGTGTCACTATTTATAAATGTGTGGCAAAGCTCATTTAAATTGAAGTATTCTCTGTACTTTGAAAAATTACTCCAAAATTTATAAGTGGACAATTAAAAGAAAGTCTCCTGACATCTCAGGCACTTAGCTTCCCAAATTTTAAAAACCAGATGTCTGTATGTCATGACCCCAGAACTTTCTAATCATTCTAAACTTCAAGCATGTCTTCAGAAATGTTAACATGTTAACAAATGCATTATTCAAGCAACACTGACACCATGTTCATGACCCAAATGCAGATGGATTGAAGAAGCAGCAGTCAGAGGTGGATTTGATGTTAAAATTACAAACATAACTGATGAGCTTGGTGTCCTGGGAATTGCCGGGCCACGTGCAAGGAAAGTCCTTCAGAAACTGACCCCTGAAGATCTCAGTGATGATGCTTTTAAGTTTCTTCAAACCAAGTCCATAAAGGTCTCCAACATTCCTGTTACTGCAATCAGGATCTCTTACACTGGTAAGAGTTGGAAAACAACATAGAGTAAATCTCTGAAATTTAAAAGGCAATGTAGGACTCGCTCACTCGCTTACCTTTTTCAGATTTTTGAGGAAATTTTTTTCTGCTCAACTCTAGGACAAGAAGTCTGAGGGCTGGATGCACACATGCCTTTAATCCCAACATTAAGGAGGCAGAGGCAGGTAGATCTCTTTGAGTTCCAGGCCAGCCTGGTCTATATAACGAGTTACAGGCCCAGGGCTACAAGTGAAACCCTGTCTCTAAAACAATATAGAAGTCTATTTGGTCACTCCTACCCTTTAGAGTGGTTCCGCCCATCTCTAGTTGCTCCAATTGGAAGGATAGACAAAAAAGGAGTAAAAGGGGTCACTGGGATAACTGGAATACCCAGGCCAGCAGAATCTCTGGCTTCAAGGCCATTGTGAATGTTCCAAGCTTTCTACCAGTGCATTACAGATGATGCGTCTTTCCTTCCAGTTGAGCTTTACTAGAAAATCATCTCTCTGTATCAAATATATACGCAGAGTATGTATTTGATACAGACGGCTCTTCATTACCCAGTGGTGCTCCGGGCTTACTTCTGCTTCCTCTTCTTCTTACTTCTGTCTCCTCACTGAAGGAGCACTTGGTGCCCAAGCATTCACTCTGTTCCATGTTGCTCCATTCTGATGGTGTGCTGGCCAGAGCCCATCATTATCAGCCTGTGACAATGGGAAACAAGGAGTGTATTCACCATTAAAGCCATAGCTTCTCTGGGCCATCCACTCTAACTTTTCCCAAACTTGGCAAAATGGGTTACCAGAATAAAAAAATGGGCATGTCTGTTTGGATTGCTTTTTTCTTTTCTTTCTTGGTTTGGGCTTTTAAAGCACATAGATCTATTGATGAATAAAAAGATCAAGTGGGCAAGAGAGGCAAAGGGAGCCAAGGTATGGCTGGCCATCCACAAGGAAGAGAGTTTGAATAATTCCAAGTTCTTCATATTTTTAAGGCTTGTGATTCTTGCATTGGGAACTGGAATGTCTAAACCTTAAACTCCTTATCCTAAATTGTTTGTGTACCTGTGCATGCATGTTTGTATTCCTGGGGGGTGCACATGTGTGCGTGCATGTGGCAGCCAGAGGTCAACCTTGGGTATTACCTTGTTTTATGAAACAGGGTTTCTCACTGGCCTGGGGCTCACAGACTAGGACAGTCAGCTAGGCTGGCTGCTCTGCACTCCCACAGCACTAGACTTATGAGAGTGTGCTACCGTGTGTGTGCATGCAAATACTATAACCCATGTGTGGAGGTCGGAGGGACAACTTGCTGGAATCAGTTCTTTCCTTTTACCATGTGGGTCCCAGGAATTGACCTCAAGCCATCAGGCTGATTGGCGGTAGGCACCTTTACCCACTGAGCTTTTGCTCTAGGCCCCTGCATTTTTATGTGGGTTCTGGGGATCAAACATGCTTATATGGTAAGCATTTTACTGAATGAACTGTCTCCCAATCTTTTTTTTGTTTGTTTTACTTTGGGGGGGGGGGGTTGTGTGTGTTGTTGCTTGTTTTGAGACAGTGTCTTACTAACCCAAGCTGACCTTGAACTCACAATCCTCCTTTCTCAGATTTTTGTGTGCAGGGACTACAGGTGTCCACCGCCATACCCAGCTGAACCCCTTAAATATGCTATGCTAACTATGTGCTAATACTAGTCAAGGCTCATTATGAAACAGGTCCAGAGTGAAGAGTAAGTCCTGCATTCACCTGTCTCTTGAGACAAGTTTATCCAATATCTGCCCGCTTGGTGGGAATCAGGATTACACACAAATCATCTGAGATGTCCAGCTCCTTTGTGGTAGAGTCTTGTGGCCACATTTTTGTGAGCTAGTCTTTTAAAAACTGACAATGAGTACTTTTGTGGGTGGAATTTCCCCTCATGTGTATTAGCTGATGCATGTGAGCTCTGACCTGGTGATCACTGTTCTACTCTGTGTGGGCTCTGCCATTTTGTTACAGGTGAGCTGGGATGGGAGCTGTACCACAGACTTGAGGACTCTGCAACGCTTTATGAGCGTATCATGAATGCAGGCCAAGAGGAGGAGATCGACAATTTTGGAACGTATGCCCTGAATGTCTTAAGACTGGAGAAAGCTTTCAGAGCCTGGGGATCAGAGGTTTGAAACGCTAGCATCTTCATTCAATGTTTATACGTACTGTATCTGATTTATGTTGAAGGGCTGGTTTTAATTGCACTAATATCAATTCTGGCTGTAAGAGAAATTGTATATCATTAGACAACTTTATTTAGAGAAAGAGGCGCCCCCCCTGTTTTTCAGTTGAATGTTCAGTGGAATTCTGCCATGATGTTTCTTCTTCCTTGAATCACTCTGCTTGGTGGTAATCCATAGATGTCCGTCTCTGACTGTGGGAACAGGCCTACCGCATGGGACTTGAGCATCGCCTTTCACATCCCTTCTCTTTGTCTTCTGTGCCGCCTGTCTCATTTTCTTCTTAATTTTAAGGTTCTTTCTTTCTGAGGAGTAGAGACAATGGTCCAGTATGTGTTGGTCTAACCTTCCTCCATCATTATTAGTAATAATTAAGAGTTTTTACTTGTATAAGGCTTAACCATTTGTGTAACATTTTATATGCATGATTCTGCTTACCTTCTGTTTTAGTTCCTTTTCTGCTGCTATGACAAAATACACTGACAAAAGCAACTTAAGGGAGAAAGGGTGTATCTCAGCTCACAGTCCATGGTAGCAGGGAAGTCAAGGAGGTAGGAATTTGAAATGGTTGTCATGTCACCTCCACAGTGAAGAGCAGAGAACAATGCATGCACGCTTCCTGCTGCTCAGCTAGCTGCCTTCATTTTATCCAGTCCAGGATCCCCTGCCCAGGGATGCTGCTGCCCATAGTTAAGAGGCATCTTCCCACATCAATCAGTGTCATCAAGATAATCCTCCACAGGCCTTTGCAGAGACTCTTCTCTCAGCTGATCCTAGATTCTGTCAAGTTGACAACACTAGCCATCATGCCTTCTCAACTGTCCAAGAAGTTACCACTATCATTACTTCTGTTTTGCAGAAAACACACTAGATTACTGTGATTCAAATTGTTTTCCTATTTTATTTCTAATGTAACAGTATCTGATCCTTAGCTTTTCTGACAGTTGTTTCTTTGGAAGACACTGAGGTTTTAGGCCTGGGTGGAGAGGTAAGGGACAGTAGTTAAAGATGAGCCATCTGAGTAGGGACTTGGGTTTAAATTTATTCTCTACCACATATGAGCTATGTGGCCTAATCTCTCAGACCCTCTGCTATTTTATAAAATGAAATATTTATCTTTCACAATGGATAGCCTAACATAGGAATTAGGGATATTTTCTAATGAGCCAAACACATCATATAATTAGCTTAGTTTAAAATTTCACTTGAAGCTCAAGCAGGGAACCCTGGGCTTTTAGACTGTGGTAGAAACATGTGAGCTAGGCTTGAAGCTGCCCTGAAGGGGGCTTGAGGAGGCCCCTGGGCCAGCTCAACTGGAGGAGCTGTATAGAGGAACTCCTCAACCTTCAACTGGGACTTAAGTGAGGTTGGCTGCCCACAGAAAAACAGGAAGCGTTGCCCCCATGCTCCTAAGAAATGAAGCAGCCGAGCAGTCCTCTGGGAGTTCAGCATTGCTGTATCCTGCTATTTATGTTCTTCTACTTCCTCCCCCCATACGCCCTCTTAGGCCATCCCTGTTTCCCAGCAGTGCCAGACTGCCCTCTAGTGTTGAAACAGCAATCAATCTGCTCTGTTTTTCTGAAAAAAGAAAAAAAAAATTCTGGAACTTGGAACAGATTAAAAAATAATTTTAGAGTAACTCAAACTGATTAAGAGACATGAGAAAAAAATGTATGTCATGTAAAGCAATCTTAAGTTTATTTATGTAAGTACTGTGTTGTCTTGAAAAGTTTTAGTATTTTGGGGGGTGTGATAGACCAGTTCCCCTTCCTGCAGAGAACAACAAAACAAAAACCTGACTTTCAGATGTGTTTCCTCTTCTGACAAATAATGTTACTGAATATATTGTGGTATTCTGCTTTTTCACATTTCTACACTTTTTTTTTTTTTTTTTTTTTTTTTTTTTTTTTTTTAAAAAAAAAAAAAAAAAAAGCCCCAGTTCCTGGAACTCACTATGTAGGCCAGGCTGGCCTCGAACTCACAAAGATCCACCTGTCCCAGCCTCCCAAGTGCTGGGATTAAAGGTGTGCGCCACCATGCCTAGCCCATTTCTACACTTTTAACCATATCACTGAGTTTTGTCTTCATTTTGATCTTGATGCCTTTCATCTCTCATTAGTTCTCATTAGGGAAATTTAAATTTTCTAATAAAATTTTAAAGCCTTAAAAACAAAACAAGAAACAAGATGCATTAACTTCATTCAGGACTAGCATCAAATGTTCCATGTATACTATAACAATTTGACTGTATTTGAGATCCCACATTGCTGCTTGTGTTTCTTCTTCTGAACTCTGCAGAAGCCCGTCTCCTACCATCTGCTTTTCTGTCTCATTCTTGGCTAATTGCAAGATAAGTAAAATACCTTATTAACCTTTCAAAACATAATTATGTAGCATTATCATATTTATGGGACTCCATGTGCTAGCCTTCAAATATTTATTAAAATGGAAGTGCAGTGGAAACAAATTGTGACTTTTGGTTTCTGAGTTTGTCATATTCAAATGACAGAATTTTCCAAAAGACTGCATTTGAATTAGAAAAATACTGTTTTGGAGGCTGGAGAGATGGCGCAATAGTTAAGAGCACTGGCTGCTCTTGTAGAGGACTTGAGTTTGGTTCTCAGCACCCACAGGGAGGCTAACAACCATCTGTAACTCCAGTTCAGGGGATCTGACCTCCGTGGGCATTGCATGAATGTGGTGCACATACATGCAGGCAAAACGTTCATACACATAAAATAAAAATAAATAGAATAAAAAAAAAACCCACCTGTTTTAGAGACTAGCCTTTTCCAGAATCTACTCAAAAATCAGTGTTCTGTCACCTAAAAAGACTAACACATGAGGGCTGGAGAGATGGCTCAGCAGTTAAGAACACTTGCTGTTCTTGCAGAGGACCTGGGTTTGGTTACTAGCAGGCAACTCAAAACTGCCTGTAGAACTTCCAGTTCTAGGGGATCTGACACCCTCTTCTGGCCTCCATTGGCACTGTATGCACTATATATATATATATATATATATATATATATACACATACATGCAGGCAAACATTCATACACATAAAATAAAGATGAATCTTAAGGGACTGGAGAGATGGCTCAGTCGTTGGGAGCACTGATTGCTCTTACAGAGGACCTAGGTTCACCTCCTAGCACCCACATGGTGACAACTGTCCTGACTCCAGTTCCAGGGGGATTTGATACCCTTTTCTGATCTCCTCAGGCATTGCACAACACAGGTGCACTTACATCATGCAGGCAATACACTCATACACATAAAATAAAAATAATGTTTTTAATTTAAACATTTTTTTTAAATCTTAAAAAATAATAACATGGCAGGGATAATGACACACATCCTTAATCCCAGCACTTGGGAGACAGAGGCAGATGGATTTCTGTGAGTTCAAGGCCAGCCTTGTCACATAGTAAGTTCCAGGCCAGCTGGGGCCACAGGGAAATCCTGTCTCAAAAAACAAACAAACAAAAAAAAACAAACAAACAAAAAAACCCAAACAAACAAAAGCTCCAAAATAACACATGAAAGTGGTGTTCCTGGCTGAATCATTATAGTATACATCAATTCATGGCAGAAGCTAGTATTGCTTAATGAACTTAGTGGGTTTTGTTAGCTTTGCAGTAAGACAGAACTGGTCTACCACTTCCCCCAAGTACTAAACTCTTAAAGACAAAACAGTACTTACATAAGCCAAATAAACATGCTTATCTAAGATTTGAAATGTGTTTTCCTTTCAGATGAACTGTGATACAAACCCCTTGGAAGCTGGACTGGAATATTTTGTCAAGTTAAATAAGGTATGTTTGCATTCTAAAGTGTTCTTGAAGCAAGTGGTAAAATGGTCCCACTGTTCTTCAACAGAGCCATGCTTGAAAACTTAGCCAAGTGTGATCTAAAAAAAATGAGGTGAATGTAAATACTAAGCGTTGCTTAATTATCTCATATGAATAGTTCATCATAATTTGATCAGGTCAAGTGATGGGACTATGCTTAGAGATTTAAGATAGCAAAATCTAACATCTTTTAAAAGCTTAGTCTAAAATGTTAGTAAAACATGCAAAATGATTATCAGCTGGATTACAACAGACATTTTTGTAGAAATTGTGCTGCCTTGTGTATGTTACAGCAACTCCTGGTGACTGGTAAGGCTGCCCATTAGTAACCAAACTGACTTTCCTTGGGAGCAGTCTTGCCACAGTGGATTAAGCAAGTGCTTATTAAGCAGATTTGTATCTAATGATAGCATCTGAATATAAGCAAATGACATATTTCCAACATATCCAGTGCATAGTGGGTATTTACTGAGAGGCCAGCACAGACCCAAAGAATCATAATTGCTATTAATGTGCCAAAGGGATGCTCTGCATCAGTGATTCTGGAACTGCGGTCCTCCAAGTCTAGTGTCAGCATTATCTGGAACTTGTTAGAGATGCAAATTCCCAAGTCCAATACCAGATTTACTAAAAGCAGAATTTCTGGGAGTCAATCCAACAAATCTATGTTTTAATAAGCCCTCTAGGGAATTGGAGTGTACCTAGGTTTTGAGACGCTCTACCCTATATAAGTACTGTGGAGAAACATCATATGAGGCCAATTTATTACGGCCCTGCTCCTCTTTGCAAGTCCTACAGATGTAAATGAGGTTATTCCATTGAGCAGTGCCTGAGCGTTAATATAAAAGAACTTAAAGGACTTGTAGTTGGTGGCAGTCTTCAAGATTAGGGACAGCAGCTACTGCTGCTGTTTAGGGTGTGTGTTAGGAGTCCCTACATAAACTATCAGTCTTGTAAGTTAAAGACTGGTTTCCAAGCCTACGGGAACATGTAAATATGTGTACATAAATCAGGCTAGGGAAACTTTTTAAATGCCCTTTATCAGTTCTCAAATTCTGAGTTAAAATATTAAAAGAAAACATGTATATTCATAGCACTAGACTGTAGGAGAAAGACCCTCCTAAGGAGTTTTAAAAGAAAGAAATCTTTCTGTATGCTTTTCTCCATGGCTTTTATTTTGATGGTCTACCATCTGTCTCCAGACCAGAGAAAGCAGGTGCTTGGAATTTGGGCAGATCTTAGCAGCAGATTGCTCCTTGTGATGGCAGAAGTCTGAGTTTTTGGCTATTTAAAATAAAGATTAAAATCCCTGACTCCTAAATGTACCAATGTTCTGCTGTTGGCCACTAGTAGGTAGATAGAAAATTTATTCTTTTGCTTCGGTGTTTGGGTATTATTGTTTGGGAATAAGGGCTCCATGAATGATGTCTTCATATTGAAATTGGATTTTTTTTTAATGTGCTTCGTGATGATCAGCAGGTGCAGATCATGAATTTATTAGTTCTTTTCAATGATATAATCAAATAAAGCAAAGCAGAGCCCCAAAGAAAATTGTTTAATAGATACTAATTTTGATTGATGACATGTTTTTATGAGTCTGAATTGTTGATTCTCATTCAGGTGTCACAAAGGTAGTTCTTAATGATTTTATTGGGTAAACATCCATGCAGGCCAAGGACTTGGGCCTAGCTGAGCCAAGCCTTTTCTACCATGGGGATTTAGGGTTAGTTGGTCTCACCCTCTTTGTGGAGAGGCACACAAATTTCTAGGGCAGGTGAATAGACTGGATTAACAGCTTAGATCCTTCCCAGTGGTTTCACAACTTTGTCACAGCTTTGCAGCAGTATAATGAGAGACAGGTCATTGAAAACTCGTAAACATTACAACCTAAGCAAGGGCCCTGCCAGCTTGATAATTCAAGCCCTGTGCCTAAAAAACAAAAGTTGTTACCAAGACATTTGATGTACAGAAAGATGCTCCCTTTACCCTTTAGAAGACTTTCTATAGCACTTAAAAGGGTAATTTCTAAGTCCAGTTGGGTGTGGTGGCACGCACCTTTAATACAAGCACTCAGAGGCAGGTGGATCTCCATCAGCTCAATGCCAGTCTGCTCTACATAGTGAATTCCAAGCTAGCCAGGGCTGTATAATGAAACCCTGTCTCAAAAATTAATTAATTAATAATAATAAAAAATCTATATTGCTTTAGAAAACTCATGAGATACATAATCTGAACCTAATACAAAGGATTATTTATATTTAATAACAAAATAAAACTAACAAAACCAAAAACCTTGGAATTGAGAACCTCAATTGAGGAATTTCCTCCATTGGTTGGTGGGGCATTTTCTTGATTACTGAATTATGTGAGAGGGGCCAGCCCACTGTGGGTGGTGCCACCCCTGGGCAGGTGGTCCTGTGTTGTATAAGAAAGCAGGCTGACCAGGGGAGCAAGCCAGGAAGCAGCGTTACTCCCTGGTCTGTGCTCCAGGTTCCTGTCCTGAGTTTCTTCTTGGCTTCCCTCAGGAATAACCTGTGACCTGGAAGATGTAAGATAAACTTTCCTCCCCAAGTTGGTTTTGGTCAGTGTTTTTTATCACAGAAATAGAAAATAAATAAGCCATTCCCCTTCAAAGCAAGTTGTTAGAATTTTCTGTTAGATTCTTAAATGCTTAACAGAATGATTCTAACACTTGATGGAAAGACCTGGAGAGCCTGACTGTTGGAGCTGGAAGGGCCCCTAGAGACCCACCTAGCATTCTCTCCTCCTTTGGGGGTAGGAACCTAAACACAGAGAGGTAATGTGACTGGGCAAGAGCATCCCTTTAGCCCAAGTCCAAAGCTCTGCGTGGCACTTCCTTGCCCCTCACTTTTACCTGTCTTCTTCCATAATGGGCTTCATGAAAATCTGCCCAGCAATTTTATTTTGATTACAGAATTTGCATAAACTACCCTTTATAAATTGGAGCCTTCCACTGTCATGTCTTTGTTATGACTATTTTTTTTTTTTTTAATTTTAGCATAGGGTCAGACAGTTATGCACATTTTAAGGAGAAAATGGTCAGGTGAGGGGATGGGGCATCAAGCCTTGTTACAAGGAATTGTGTTCTTGTCAAAACCATAAGGAAAGTAGAGGAAAGGAAAATGGAGAAAACTTCCATAACAAGGGAAGGCGGCATGATGGAGCTGGCTTCCTTCTTTCTGGTGGTGGTTTAACTCAGTCTCTTCCCGTGGCACTGGTAAGACAGATTTATCTAGCAAACATTTATTGAATACCATTATACACCTAGCTAAGCCGCAGGTTAAAGATACACTTCTGATGGCTCCCAGAACTCATGAAGCTTGAAAACAAATCTTCAAGAAGGCCGTAGGACGTGTTCTTAACCTTAATCCTAAAAATATCATGCCACAGGAGGGGCGCGCAGCGGTGCACAGCACTGCCATCTTGTGGAAGTGACCGGTAGGGCCCTGAAAGGAAAACGTTTCAGTCAACCGGGGTAAACAGATTGAATAGTTGCTTTTTAAAATCTCCTAAGCCTCTTCACGTGAAATAACTCTAAAATTGTTCTTCATAGTGTTTTGATTTGTTCCAAACCAAGTTTATGTGGTAGAAAATTGGTTGCATTTTGGTTTTAGTCGGAAATGGAAGGAATGCATTAATCAAGGGCAAAAGGAAAATCAGCTGCCTTAGGACACCACAGGTAGTCTTGGAATTTTCCTCTTGCAGTTACCAAGTCTTTGTCCACGTCTAGAGAATGTCCGCCAAGATTCAGAGAGGTTTAAGTGATAAGAGTACCGTGCTTAAGCAGAGCAGGATTTTTTTCTTACGTATCCCCTGCCCCCCCCAGCCCCCCCACCTCCCTGCGCACACGTCTAACCAGATGAAATACACTAACTACAAATTCCATAAAGCAGGCTGTCTTTGAAAAAAATCGTATAAAGTAGAATTATTTGATAAGCAAAACTGAACAACCAAGAAAGCTTGTGTTAAAAAGGCAGAGCACTTACCGCCAGACAGACACATCCTCAGTATTCAATAAGCATTATATATATATATATTTTGAGATAGGCTCTCTTGTGTACCAGAATGGCATCTAACTCATTATGTAGCTGCAGATGATCCCAATCTTCCTTCCTCCATCTCCCAAGTATAGGGATTATGCCACAGAGGCCTGTTGATGTGGTGCTGGGGATCAAACCAAGTGCTTCCTGCTCTCCAGGCAAGCACTCTACCAACTGAGCTACACCTCAGACTGGAATTAGCTGTTATTAAAACACCAAAGTGGAAAGAAACCATTGCTCACAGGAAGCAAGTTAGAAAGGAATGCCTACTAGGTAGCAGTGGTGGTCACAAGGATATTTGAGGTACTAGGAGTCAAGAAAGCAGACAGTTTTTCTTGATGTTAAGCGTTGGCTGGATATTGAAATCATGTGGTATGAATCTCCTAAGTAATACGCTGCTATTAAAACAGTCCCAAACCCAAACTTCACCCTATATCAATTCATCTCAGCCAGGCCTGTAATCAGTTAATTACAGGTGGTTCAGATCCATAATCCCAGCTGTTCCAGAGTGTGGGACAGGAGGCTCTCAAGTTCAAGTCCTGTGACTTCAAGGCTAGCCTGGCAACAACTTAGTGAGATCCTGTCTCAAAAGCAAAAAGAAAAAAAAAAAAATTTAAAAGATTGAAGCAGGAGGATTACTGTGAGTTGAAGACCATCCTTGGCTGCATACTGCTAGGCCAACCAGGGCTACAGAGTGAGACCCTAGGTCAAGAAAACAAACAAAAAGATTTGGAAGATTGGCCCAGCTGGTAAAGCGCTTTCTACCAGCACCCAGGTAGAAAGGCATGGTAATGTATATCTGTAATCCTAGGACTGGGTGGGGAGGGAGGAGACAGGAGGATCCCTGGGGCTTGCTGTCCAGCTAGTCTACCCAATCAGTGAGCTTTGGGTTCAGTGAGAGAC